AGATTGCCATTGTGTTGGGGGTTTTTGCTTTTCTAAGATAACAAACTTGTCCTGCAACTGCTAAACGTACTCTCCTGCTGAAGGTGTATTTTTCAGGTTCTCTAGAGATTCTCCATTTGTTCCAAAAGACAGAAAATCTATTTTATTTTCATACAAATGAAATCCAGTGTTGAATGTTTATCTGAGGAAAAAACCTCACCAATAAAATGCAACATGAACGGGGAAAAACCAGTTGCTTTCGCTGTATCAGCAAACTGAACAGATGATAAGAATAATACAGATTTTTAGTCAATAAAATGAGAAAATTCTCATCAGGGGCCTCATTCTGCCAGCACAAAAATTGCTTATATTACCTGGCCCTGTATTGCTGCCAGAGGTAGGAATTCGTACTGAAATCCTACAGCTATAAGGAATTTCACTGCTATAAACAGGGCACATAGGATTTATGGAGAACTCAGAGCCTGGTTATCCATTTGGGATCCCCTCTGGATACTATAGGGAAGAGCATCATGTCCTATGAAATTAATGACGAGGACTTTGAACTTCGGAATGACTTTAAAAGAGGGGGAGATGTCTAGAAAAAGTTTGGTTTAGGCTTTACTCTGTTATAATCTACTACAAGAGGATGTCAAGGCTTCATTTATTTACCTGTTCACAGTGAGGGCAGGAGGTCATGTACAAATTCCTTCAAAAATCCATCTCGGGATCAGGGAATTTCACAGTTACAAATTACCTTGGAAACAATCAATCCTTCAATTTTACGAAGTTCCCACTAAAATAAGAAAGCACAGAAAGCGCTTTGCAAATAGTAATGTGAGTTTCCCAAACCTGCACATTTGCACAAAGTGTTGTGTGAGAAATTTCAGCAATTTCTTTAAAAATAAACAAATAAATAAATAAATAAATTTTTAATAACAAGCAGAATTTTGACACAACTGATTTGGAGAAATTGATTTGCTACTTTATCCAGATTTTTTTTGGCCTGTTCTTAAAACTGATTTCCCTCGGTGCTTTCTTCCTCAATTACAGTTGAAATAACTTTACGACAAACTTGTCTTCTGTTTTGGCCTGTAAGTGCCTACAAATTTCTGTATATAGAAATACATTTATATATTCACATCTTTAGGCTGAAAAGCGAGATAAAACTGAAAACAAAATTCACATATCAGAATAAAACTCGTTACCCCAGGGACTGGACAAAACAAAAATCTCTGGAAAATGTACAGCAGCAACAGGTTTTCTTTTTTAAATGCTTCCCCAAACATTTTCATATCAAGGATCTGAGCACTGAAGGTGCCAAAGAGCTGCTGGATGCCCTGAATCCTTCCCAGTTTGTGAGTGGGACTGTCCCAGCCATGCTCAGCTTCTTGCAAAGGACTTAAGAGTTTGGATACAACTAACTAAATAATTGCAAGATACTCTTTTAGTTTTGCAAGGCCTGAATGATTCATGGGCAGAAAGTAGGTCTGCAGCAAATTCATAATTGATGCGTCTCTTCCAATGCACAGTCAAACAAATGGAAAAATGGATTTAGAACACACTGGGTTTGCTGTTTGGAAGAAGAGACATTCAAAAGACTGTCATGTTTTCTGGCTTGTCCTGAGATACAATTCTATCTGGATGACGTGAGAGCTAAAACATTCATACCTTCATCCAGATAAAAACAGAAGTCAACTCCCTCCTCGACAGGCTGGTGATCCACACATCCCGGGCATCCCAGGACACGTGAAATCACTTTGGCTTGGTTATTTCTAGACAAAATCATTCAAAATCAGTTGCTTAAAAAAAAAATAATGAGACGAAGGACCTGTTTTTCTCTCCTCCACGTCCCCGTTTAATCGATGCTGCGACCAGGTGGGTACAGCAATAACTGTGGCATCGACCCGATGAAAACAGTGTTGCATTCAGAAACTCGATAAATGAATGGGAGGGACAAGCAGTGCCTCCCCCCCAAGGATGTTTTGTTAATTAAATTAGCATTTAAATAGCCAGAGCTAATCTGGGAAGTCAGCCCCTCATTACAGTAACTAGGAAGGGGGAAAAGAGCAAGAGACAATTCCCTACAAGATGGGGTTAAGTTGGCGTTTCACAAACTATTTGCCCAGCCTGTCCCTCCCAAGTGAAAGCTGCCACCCCCCCCCCTCTCTTTCCTCCCAGCATAATTAGCATGTTCCAGTGCTGTGAATGGAAACAATATCCTCCCTCCAAGCTGTGCCCCTCCAGGGAGATGCTTCCCACAGATTGTGAAACCCTGAGCCAGGGAAAGGGCTTGTCGGGGAATTCACAGTGGGGTAATTACACTGAGGTACCTTGTGCCAGGGCAAGAGAAGCTGCATTGCTGTAATTCATTGCAGGAAGCAGGGCCTTGAATAGAGGAGGAGTCCAGAGGCAGGACTGCAGAGAGCCAGCAGAATTTATTGCTCCTGCACATCTTCCCAGAGATCCCATCAAAAGTATCACAACTGAGATGGTTCCTTGGGCCTTAAGGATGTCTCCATCTTTGAAGAAGTTTGCAGAAAGTAGCAACGATTACACGTGAATCTGGTTTCTCCCTGGCTGCTAGAACTGAAGGAAGGCTAAAAGGGTGATTTTTCGAATCTTAAAATAAATTCTTCATTCCAGGCAGAAAGATTAATTCTTCATTCCAGGCAGAAAAATTAATTCTTCGTTCCAAGTAGAAAACTGGAGCAAAACTTGTAAGAATTGTATAATTGCATTTGTTACTGTCCACTTAAAACAGCCACTTCGGAATAAATAAAAAGGTTATATAAAATACATTCCCTGAAAGATTTACTGTTAAATTTTACATAAAATCAATGATAACTGAAACAGGAGAGGAGATGCAGGAGGAAGAACTGGATTTGGGTGACACCTGCTCTGCCCAGCTGCACCCACATCTGGCAATGGGTTTCATCCCATGTCTTTAAATCAAATTCCAGGTGACTCAACCTGCTGTAAAAAAGACCCACCCTCCCCTTGCTGCTGGTGGTGTCCAGCTGTGAAACGGGGACTATATTTATCTCCCCTGAGAATAATTGGGTTTCAGAAAACGTTGGTGAAGTTTGTCGAGGCCCCAGCTGGAAAATACCACAAGAAGTTCAAAGCTGGGTTTCATCCTGTAATTGGATCCTCAAGTTCACAAGTGCAAGGACCAACTGTGCAGCCTGGAAGTGGGATGTTCCCACTCCCAACAAGAAACCCTCCACAGCTTGGGGCTGTGGGGCTGGAGAGCAGATTCTTTCTCCTGCTGCAGAAAAAAACACATTTTCTGCTTCAAGCTTTTGCCACTCTGCTTGGTCTGACCTATTATTTAAATTTTTTTTAAACTTCAAGACATCTTCCCAACCCTCCTGCTCACTTGAGATGCTCTTAAGAACATGGACATTAATCTCAGTGTGACTTAAATGCCAGCTTAATATTTGTTTTCTCTCTGCCTTGACAAGATACTCTTCAGGCCGGGCAGGAATGAAATGATAAATATTAAGTGCAGTTCCCCTGGGCAAAAAGTGCTACCTGCCGAAATCTTATCTCAAAACCACTTGGAAATGTGTTACTTTTTATTACTTCTGTCGCAAAACCTCGTTGGACATTGAAAGGCCAAAGGGCTACAATTCTGAATTTGTTTTATTTCCTGTCCTTGCTGGAATCTGGCCTTTCAAAATAGCACTGAGAGAATCCTTGTTTTGAACTAAAATAGCAGCTGCAAGGCTTTTCAACCATGACCATTTAAATGAGGGTTTGGGGTTTTTTTGCATCTTTGCATTACGGTTTCGTTCTCAGTCTTTGCAATCTGTGGCTGTGGTTGAACTGTTGATCTGTCTAATGGGGATAAATGGTAATATTGTTTATTGTTCAAGCTGTCTCAGACTATTCCTGTTGAGCTTTTTTAGTGAGCTGTCTTTGCTGAGTGAATAGCACCAGACACGTCACTGATAGTCAGGGGTGGCTCTGTGAAACCAGAGCCAGATATCACTGAAACCCACATCTCTGTGTTGGGTTATGGTCTGTGAGGGTTCTCTGGGGTCCTCAGCACAGGAAGGTCATGGACCTATTGGAGCAAAACCAGAGGAGGCCATGGAGATGCTCCGAGGGCTGGAGCCCCTCTGCTCTGGAGCCAGGCTGGGAGAGCTGGGGGGGTTCACCTGGAGAAGAGAAGGATCCAGGGAGACCTCAAAGCCCCTTCCAGTGCCTAAAGGGGCACCAGGAGAGATGGAGAGGGACTTGGGACAAGGCCTGGAGGGACAGGACAAGGGAGAATGGCTTCACATTGACAAAAGGTGTGGTTGGATGGAAGAGTGGGAAGGAATTCTTGGCTGGTGAGACCCTGGCACAAGTTGCCCAGAGAAGCTGTGGCTGTCCCATCCCTGGAAGTGTTCAAGGCCAGGTTGGATGGATCTTGGAGCAACCTGGGATAGTGGAAGGTGTCCTTGTCCATTGCAGGCAGTTGGAACTGGATGATCTTTAAGGTCCCTTCCAACCCAAACCCTTCTGTGATTCTGTGATGTTCCAGAACCATCTGGACATAATCCTGTGCTGTGTGTCCTAAGATGAATCTGCTTGAGCAGGGAAGTTGGACCAGATGACCCCCCTCTTGCCCCTTCCAAACTGACCGATTCTGGGATTCCCTGATTCTGTGATCAGACATCGGAAGGGGCTGCCCAGGGAGGTGGTGGAGTCCCCATCCCTGGAGTTGTTCAAGGAATGACTGGACATGGCATTTAATGCCACAGTGTAGTTGACAAGGTGGTGATCGGTCACAGGTTGGACTCGATTACCTCAGAGGGCTTTTCCAACCTAACCGATTCTGGGACGCAGCCAGGCTGCTTCCCACCCAGGCAGGGACACAGGGAAGAACTACATCTCCCAGCGTGCACCGCGGCGGCCCGCCGGGAGCGGGGAGGCGTGGCGCGGCCCGGTGCACGCCGGGAGTTGTAGTCCCGGCGGAATTGGCCTGGCGCGGCACCTCCCTCCGCGGCCGCTCCTCCCCGTGCCCGGCTCTCCCTCCGCAGACGGAAGCCGGGCAGGGACGAGGGAGCCGGGAAAGCTGGAGCGGCAGGATGGGGGACTCCAAAGTGAAGGTGGCGGTGCGCGTCCGCCCCATGAACCGGCGAGGTGAGACCCTCCTTCCTCAGCGAACCCCCCGCTCCCTTCTCCTTCCCGAGAGCAACGCGGGACCGGGGGGTGCCGATCCATAGGGACAGGTGTCCATAGGGACAGGTGTGCCCGAGGGCGGGTGTATCGGGGTGTGAGCGTGTGTATTTATTTGTTCATTATAAATAAATACACCCCGTATAGGCACGGGTGGGTCCGTGAGCGAAGCCGCGCTGCGCTCGCCCCCCTCTCCTGCCGTCCCTTTTCTTAAATCTTCCTAGTTTCATGGCTTTTTTTTTACTCTCCTTGCCCACTTCGCCCCTTCTCCACACCTCCTGCACCTGCTTTACAGCCGGGCTGTGCCCGGTTCCCGCTGGGAAAGCCCTTCCTTCTTCCTGCTTTGGGGTTTTGGGGGAAAAATTCCTCTTTTTCTGTATTTTGCCCCGTGTTAATCCATCCCGTCGCTCTCCAGCCCCTATTCCTGCCCCTCGGCGCTTGAGTGGGACGGATTTAACCCGATGACAGTGACACAGGGGCAAAAACAAGAAGGAAAATGGAGAAAAGGAAGCGTGAATTGACAAGAGAATATTTTTTTGTTGTTGTTGCTGGGTTGTTGGTGGGGTTTTTTTCCCCCCCTCCACGAAACTTGCCTAAGGGTTATGTTAATCAGACCGTGGTCTGGGCAGCTGTTTAAATGTTTATTACTTGTCTTAATTGGAAAAACTTGCTCTGGATGATGAGGAAGTGAGTATGAAAAGGCAGCTTCAGCCAAGGAATGGGAAGGTGAAGAAGGCAAAAATCCAAGAAACGTGTAGGGTGGCTTCCCCCCCCCCTTATTCTCGCAGGACTATGCCAATAATTCCTTTTGGGGAAAGGGAATCCAGTGAAGTCAGTTTAATAGCTGAAGCAAAAAACAGGAGGGAGGGGGGAAAACCCTTTATCTTCTACATGGTCTGAAACAAAGTAACTTTTTAATTCTTTTCAATTGAAAAAAAAAAAAGGTTAAATATCGAATACAGAGTTTCCATACCTTGCAGAACGACAGCAGGGGAACGTTCTTGGTGTTCACAAGAGCTCTGGAGTCCCACTTCCAGAAAAAAAGATGGAGTTGATGTCTTTACAGTCTGGTGGGTTAGGGATATTTTGACCAAAACCTGCATTTTGTTAAACCTCAAGTCTCAGCTCTCAAAACTGAGGAGGGACCCATCCTTGTGGAGAATTGCTTGGAGGAGGTGGAGTGACAGTGTGGAAGAGTTGGTGGAAGCTGGGAGAGCAGCTGGAAGGTGGTGCCTGGTTTCAGTGACAGACGTGGGCTTTCCTCTTGCTCATGTCCCTTTCCTGTCGTAGGTCATTTCCTTGGCTGTGCCCCAGGCACCTTCTGACTGGTTTACCCCTGGGATTAGACAGTAATTCCAGTGGGAAGGGACCTCTGGAGGTCTCTGGTCCAATGCACTGCTCAGAGCAGGTCAAATGAGATGAGGTTGCACAGGGCCTCGTTCACTGGAGCTGTGAATCCCCAGGGATGACTAATGCACCTCTCCCTCCCAAGTATATCCTACATCTGTTCAGTCCTGAGGTTTGTCCATGTGTCTGATTCCAGCCAGGGACTCAGTTCTGCAGGAAATATATGTGAGCAAGAAGTAGTAATCTGGGAGAAGGGAAGATTGTGTCTTGTTATCTGAGCTATTTCATGGAATCAGAGAATATCCTGAATTGAAAGAGACCCACAAGGACCATTGAAGTCCAACTTCTGGCTTTATTTTATTCTCTCTAAACTTAACAATGTTATGGGCTGGAGGGGATGGCTGAGCCCTGGTTGTTAGGAGGTTGATCCAGGAGTGAGAGACATTTGTGTATCAGTCCTTGGTGCTCATCAGAGGGAAGAGGGACATGAACCCTTCACTCTTGGCACATTTCTTGACAGTTTGCAGCTATTAATCATCCTGTTATTTGTAAGTGATACTTAAATCCATTTAAGTCCAGCCTAAAAGATCAATGTCTTTTTCTCTCTCAAACAAACAAAATGTCCTGGAATTGAGGTTTTTCCCAGCAGATTGTCACAGTCAGGTCTAAACAACTGTTAGCTCCATGTAGTATTTCTGATGCTCCTAGAATTTATACAAATAAGCATTGATATCAAGGCTACTATTTTTCTTACCCGTTTAATCTTAAATTTAAAAATTTGTGCAACTGATTCTCTGAAGAGTCATCCACTTGTGAGGCTTCCATGGCTCTGCTTTTTTAACAGGCTTTGAGGCCAGAGGCAGCTTTCCTGGAAGCTCTCTCATGCATACTTTGTTCTGAGCAGTATTTGTATGAAGTTCTGGGGCTTTGGACCTGAAGCAAGTATTTGTTTTCTTCAGGATCACGAGTAATGTTCTTTCCTTCCCTCTGCACCGAAGGGCTTAACATTGCAAACCTGTCAGACTGTGGAAACTTAAGCTTTGAAATATTCTCAGTGTTTACTTGTGGTGGTGGTGGTGGTTGTCTTTGGTGTTTGAATTATGAATTTCTTCAGGCAAGGGTTTATTAGCTTAATAAAAGTGGTGTGCTTAACTGTTACTCGTTTTTACAGCTCATAAAAGTATAATGGGTTCCTTTCATGCATGTGGAAGGGATTTCTCTATCAAATAGTTGGTTATTTATAGCACTCACATTTCAGGGTGTTTATACTGAGGGTCCTGCATCATTCTTATGCTCAGTGTGGTATCTATAAATTAAGTTTATAGTACTCATTTTTAGGGAGGGGAGGGATTTGTAATTGTACTTGGGTTTCCTGGTTTGGTTTTGGGTTTTTTTGTTTGTTTGTTTGTGGGGTTTTTTTTGTTTGGTTTTTTTTTTTTGCATCTAGGCTACTTTTTTTTTTTTTTGTATCTTGCTTCAAATTAGACCCAATCCTACAAAGCCTGCATGGAAGCCTTGCTTTGGAAAGCCATTGCTGTGTCAATGTGGTTGCAGCACCACATCTGAAGTTGGAGGCTCTGCTGGGTATCAACAGAGGCTCCTTTTTTTCCATCCTTTCTCCTTTGCAAACTGGGATCTTGATTAACAGGCTTTTATGAATTAAATAATCCAGCACTGTTTTGTTAGATAAGACAGTCTTCTATTTTCTTGGCTCTGTAATTCACTGAAGTATTTCCTAGTGCACTGCTTTATTCAGATGGGATCTTGATAACAATCAGGAAGTTCTTTTGCTGTTTTATTTCAGAGTTGCACTGGATTTCCTTTTATGAATGTGATGTTTGGCTTCTCTTAGCAGATATTCATTATACTTCAGGCAAATGCTGTGCAAACCATACCATGAAGCAAAGCAAATGACAGCTGGAGGCTTTTTAATTAAGATTTTTCTTACTGGACACTTTGTTTTCAGGTGATGTTGGGGTATAGGCATCACATAAGTACGTTTCAGTCCTTAGTTTTCCTTGTGCCTTTGAATGAATTCAGTGTAGCATTAATTAGTGCTGATAAAAGATGTTACATTTTAAAAGAGTGCAATTTACACTCAAGGATATGGTTGATGGCACCTTAAGCCAGTCCAAGCTGCTGTTGTGCTGCTACATCTCACTTGGGTTAATACTTTTCTGTTCAAAAAAAAAAGGCAGGAAACGAACTGTCTGTGTCCTGGCAGGATTAAACTGTTCTAGGATTGTAGTGTAAAACCTACAGCTCCAGTTTAAATGTCTGGATTGCCTGTAGATATGCATTCTGGTATCTATTATGTTAACATGTATATTTATCCAGACTAGTTTCTGTGTTCAGACAGGGGTTTTCTCATGCTTTGGTGATCCACATTCTGTTTCCAGTGCTTGTAAGGAAGGAATTTGCTTCTCTGTCTGCACAAGCTTCTGACCGTGGTGTCAGGTGGTAATTTTATGTCCTCCCACTCTTTGGAGGAGGTTGCATTTCCAGCCACTTGAAATGTTTCTGGGTTTGAGGTGAGGAGGTGGAGGTTGTTCCTATGTTTTTGTTTGTTTGGAGATGACAACAGAAACAATTTATCTATAAACTGGAGTTTGTGCAAGCCGGCTTATAAGATTAATTATGGTATTAGAGTGAGTGGAATGGCACCTGTTGTATCCTGATGGCAACATGGAAACCACAAGACTTTACCATTATCACGAGTGCCTAGAGTTTGGAATATTTCCTGGTGATTGCTGATAACCTATAAAAGTGTTTGTGGTACGAGCAGGATTAAGCTCGAGATACGGTGCCAAAAGGGTAAAGGATGCAGAGTTAATGTTTCATCTTGTCTTCCTCAGTGAGGCAATTGTATTTTAAAAACTCCTAAGGTGCTACAAGCTTCCTCCCCACAGCCAGAGACTCCCAGGCAGCCCAAGGTGGAAGCCACAAAGGCAAACAATTGTAGTGCTAATTACACCCGAAGTGCAGGATGAGATTACCTGGCTGCTCTGGTTTCACAGCGGCTTGCTCCTCCTCAAGTCAACAGAAGATCAGGTGGACAGGCTTTGAATAGTTCTGCCTTGGCTTTCAGGTTTGCATTTCATCCCTGTGAACTCCAAAGCCTGAAAGAAAGCAGCAGCCTGGAGTTGTGTGTTGAACTTCCTCGGCTCTCTGTGCTGCACCAGAGAGTCACCGGACTGAGTTACTCACTCAGTCCCCAAGAGCTGAGCAGCAGCAGAGCTGACTGTGAGTAAGGTTCATGTAAAGATACACCGAGGGCCTTTACTAAAGCTGTTTGGGAAGCATTTTTCTTGCAGAGAATGAAACAGCCAAGGATCAAACTTATTTTTTAGCGTTCGGACGACGTAGCGTTAACGTGTGAGGGCAGCTTGATTTCATGTGCTCATGAGCTTGGGTTGACTTCCACCTCATCGACAAGCATTGTGTGCCCCTCCAGATGCTCTCATACATACTTAATGAGCTCTAATTGCTGCAAACTGAAATTTTCATGACTTATATTTGTGCAGTTTTCATACAGCAGAGAAGCTTGAAAGATGCCTGCGTAGGGGAGACGTAAGGGACAAATCAAGTTGCTGTATTTCTGTCAGAATTTATCATCA